GTAGACCCCCTCCCCCCTCAGGGTCCTGCCTCTTCAGGTGTGTCCCAGGTAGACGCGGTCGAGCCTGTCGAGGTCACTGGTGACTCTGGTGCTGCTGCGGGAGCTGAGCCTGGGGGTGCTGAGACTGGAGGTGCTACGCCTGCGGGTGCTGAGCCTGGGGGTGCGGAGTCTGGAGGTGCTGAGCCTGGGGGTGCTGAGCCTCGGGGTGCTGAGCCTGGGGGTACTGAGTCTGGGGGTGCTGAGCCTGGGGGTGCTGTGCCTGGGGGTACTGAGCCTGGGGGTGCTGAGCCTGGGGGTACTGAGCCTGGGGGTGCTGAGCCTGGGGGTGCTGAGACTGGGGGTGCTCCGCGTGGAGGTGCTTCGTCTCGCCGAGAGCCACTCTCCCCTCAGGAGCTCCGTGAGTGGTTTGCCAGGCGCTGGAGGCGTGCTGCTGGTGCTGGAGGTTCTTCGGCTGCAGAGGGTACTGCTGCCGAGCGTCCCGGCGGTGCTCGTACTGTGGGTGCTGGAGCTGCTGGGTCTGAGGGTTCTCCTGGAGCTGGTGCTGCTGAGGGTGTTGACGCTGAGACTGCCGCTGGAGGTCCGACTGGTGGTGCTCCTGGTGGTGGTGCTGGAGGTTCTGGAGCTACTGGAGGTGCTGCTGGAGCGGGTACTCCTGCTGGGGGTAGTGGTGCTGTCCCTGCTGTTTTTGGCGTCGCCGCGCGGCCCCGGCCGTACTTCGTTCTGCTCCTGCAGCAGGTTCTTGGTCTTACACCTTCTCCTGGTCCTCCTCCTCCTCCCTTAGAGGGTCCACAGCCTGTCTCGTCACAGTCACAGCTACAGCCTGCCTCACCTTTGCTTGCTCCTTCTCCCTACGCTGGTCCGACTGAAGGTCTTACTGAGCGTCGTGAGCCTGCGTCTCGTCCTGCATCGCCTGTTCGTACTGCGCGCACTAGTGGTCGTGGTTCGCGTCAGCGTCCTCCTCCTGTCCCTGGCACGCACCGGATGTCTCTGCGTCCGTCTACTGCTCCTCTGCGTGCCCCTTTGCCTTCTCCTCCTGCTTCCTCTCTTCTTGCTCTTGCCGACCCGGAGTCGGACTCTCTTCGTGCTGCCAGTCCTACTGTCACGCGTCTTCTTGCTACTGCCGTCACTGACCCTTCTTTCGAGTCTTCTGCTGCGTCTGCCCTTGTCACTGAGCTCGTCGACTTTGCTGCACGCTGTCGCCTAGACTACGCTGCTAGTCTTGTCGCTGAGTCTGAGTCTGTCTGTCCTCCGTCCGTCGGGGGTGAGTGTGCCCTTGGCACGGACGTCCTTGAGGACAGGCTGGAGGAGTTCCAGTGTCTGGCCGCCGCTTCACCTCATCTCGCGTCTGTACTGCTAGCCCCTGAGGGAGACCCGGATGCACTAGACATCCCGACTCTGCGCTCTTACGCGGAGGCGATAGAGGGTCCCTACTCCTCTCAGTGGCAGGCAGCTATGGATGCAGAGATGGCTTCCTGGAAGTCCACAGGCACCTACGTCGACGCTGTTCCCCCTCCTGGGGCGAACATCGTCAGTGGCATGTGGATTTTCAGGGTGAAGCGGCCGCCGGGTTCTCCGCCTGTCTTCAAGGCGCGTTACGTGGCTCGTGGCTTCAGTTAGCGGCAGGGGGTTGACTAGTTTCAGACCTTCTCCCCCACCCCGAAGATGACCACTCTTCGGGTACTGCTGCATGTTGCTGCTCACCGTGACTACGAGCTGCACTCTCTCGACTTCAAGCACAGCTTTCTTGCAGGGCAGTCTGCACGAGGAGATCTGGCTGCGTCGCCCACCTGGCTTCACTGGGTCTTTCCCTCCTGGTACCGAGTGGAGTCTCCGGCGTCCAGTCTACGGTCTCCGCCAGGCGCCACGTGAGTGGCACGACACACTGAGGACTACGCTTGCGGCACTTGGGTTTGCTCCTTCTACTGCCGACCCGTCGCTGTTTCTCCGCACCGACACCTCTCTGCCGCCGTTCTACATCCTCGTGTACGTCGACGACTTGGTCTTTGCCACAGCGGACACTGCTGGACTCGCTTACGTGAAGTCCGAGCTGCAGAAGAGACACACGTGCTCAGACCTGGGTGAACTGCGCAGCTACCTTGGCTTGCAGATCACCCAGGACAGAGCACAGCGCACCATTACCCTGACTCAGTCACACATGGTGCAGCAGGTCCTTCAGCGCTTCGGCTTCACGTACTCCTCGCCTCAGGCCACTCCTCTGCCTACTCGCCACTGGCTCTCAGCTCTGCCTTCGGATGAGTCCGTAGAGTCGAGTGGCCCGTATGCAGAGCTTGTTGGCTGCCTCATGTACCTGATGACCTGCACACGACCTGACCTTGCATACCCTCTCAGCATTCTCGCACACTATGTTGCTCCTGGGAGACACCGACCAGAGCACATGGCTGCAGCGAAGAGGGTGTTGCGCTACTTGTGCAGTACGTCGGGCATGGGGCTAGTGCTTGGAGGGCGCAGTCCAGTGGTCCTCACTGGGCACGCGGACGCTTCTTGGGCTGACGACCAGGCTACGCAGCGGTCGTCATAGGGTTACACCTTCGGCCTTGGTTCCGGCTCTGTCTCGTGGCGGGCTACTCGCTCGTCTTCTGTTCTCGGCTCCAGTTGTGAGGCTGAGATCTACGCCGGGGCTATGGCTGCTCAGGAGCTTCGCTGGCTCACCTACCTGCTGACCGACCTTGGAGAGCCGCCTCGTTCTCCTCCAGTTCTGTACGTAGACAACAAGGCCATGCTGGCCTTGTGTCGAGAGCAGCGACTGGAGCACAGGACAAAGCACATTGCTCTCCGCTACTTTCTTGCTCGTGAGCTACAGCAGCGTGGACAGATGCGACTTGCGTACGTGGCCTCTGAGGCCAACACTGCTGGTGTCTTCACCAAGGCACTTGCGCCTTGTGATTATCAGCGTTGCTGCACGCAGCTGGGTCTTGTGCCTGTCTTGCCTCACTTGCTCACTTCTTGACCTTGCTTGTACCTTGACCTATATATACTCTTGCTCTTGCTTGCTTGACTCTTGTATATCTCTATATATGATCTTGCATGCGAACTGGCCTTGTGGCCCTTGACCTTGCGCTCGGAATGTGTGGTGACTTTGTGATCCACCCTGAGCTTTGCTTTGCTTTGCTTTGCTTTGCTTGACTGGTCTTGTGACCCCTTGTTCTCCCCCACTTTGCCTATGGGGGTGTGTCAGAACATTATAGCTTACTTATTTGTGTAGGCTATAGTGGGGTATCCCATAGGGGGTACAACCCAATTAGGGTTTCATATTTGTACTCACTTCATTCATAGTTGATTCATTCTCGTTCAGTTTTTCACAGTATCTGCGCGCCTTCCATCATCAGCTCGAACTCGAACGACCAGGTGAAGAAGTCCTTTCCATCGAAGGGTCTTGACGTCTGCATCTTCAGAACGTATGCGAACTGCGACTGAACTTGTAATGCGTCCAGTGATTTTTCTTGTTCAGGTGAAGGCTGTGGGTGTGGCATATGTTGGGAACAATAAGTCTTAAAGCGCCTCTGTCGTGTCGAAACTCAGGACACAAGCGAAGCAGTCCAAATCGAAGCATCGCGAGTCAACCCTCGGAGGTTAGGGTAACCGCCTGGAGGTTACGCGAAGGTCAAAAGTTAGCGACCTTTGACTTGACAAATACAGCGCGACAGCAAGGACACACAACTGACTCGACATTGAGCAGTTGCCCGAGTCGCACTGTATCGAATCGCAACAGCAAAACAGTTTAATTATATCTATTCGTATTCCATGTACTCTTATATAAAGCCTTGTATTTGCTTGTTTTAATCAACTCGTTTTGCCCTCACATTCTAGCGCAAGGTGGTTCAAGGACTTTTCATTCAAACGCTTCCGCTATTACAATCCTACTCAGACTTTAACTCTACAAAGATCCTAGGGCATCTCAGCCCAACAGCATAAAGCTGATGGACCCGCGCTCGTACGGAGCAAAGGTAGGCTGCTGTTGTTGATTTCCTCGTGCATATGATGAGCCGTCGAGACTCATGGGTGTTGCTCTGTTGTTGTTGCTGTTGTGTGACTGCGCAGGTGCCGATTGCTGGTGTTGCTTGTAGAAGGACATGAAGGAGAAAACTTCTCCATCATGCTCTAGTCGAAGTCTGCAGGTTGATTCGCAGGAGTCTCGGTAGATGTTGCTCTGGGTCTAGTTGCCGTGCCCTCCTCTGTCTGTAGGCCAGAAACAGGAGGTGGACTAGGAGTAGTGCCCTGGGAGCCGTTGGAGTTGCTCCTTTCCTTTTGTGTAGCCATGGTGATTGATATTGTCGGTACGGTATAGAAGTTGAATTCCCCCTGATTGCTCTCATACCATGTTGGGCTGAAAAACCCTTAGGATCTTTGCAGGGGTGAACTCTGGGTAGAGTTGGTGTAGTAGCGGAAGTGTTAATTAAAGGGTTGTGAACCACCTTGCGCTAGTATGTGAGGGCAAAGTAAGTTGATTAAAATAGGTGGATACAGGTTTATATATGAGTACAAGGAATACGAAGAGATGCAGTTATAACTGTATTGCTGTTGTGGTTTGATACAGTGACGACTCGGGCAACTGCTCTGTAGCGAGTCAGTTGTGTGTCCTTACTGTCGCGCTGTATTTGTGAGTTCAAAGGTCGCTGACCTTCGCGTAACCTCCAACAGTTACTTTCAACCTCCGAGGGTTGACTCGCCGGTGATTCGTTATACTTCGTTTCTTTTGTGTCTTCGTGTTTCGACATGACAGAGGCGCTTGGGACCGATTGTTTCCAACAAACTGTACATGCTGGTCCGTGGGCGGGTGCAAGTCGGGTCCACACCTGGGCCGTTCGCTGGTCCATGCTGGTCCGCGCTGGTCCATGCAAATGCCCCTGGGCCGCAGCGGCCCAGCACGGCCCAGCGTAGGTCTTGCGCACATGGCACACCCCCTAACACACGAGTTCTTTAAATAATGTTGATATTTCTACACTTAGTAATTCTTTACATGACAGGTATGCAGACGCATATCAAGGAGCCAACGAGTCCTTCCAGGCCAACATTCCTCCTTCCATATCCGCAAGTGACGTGTAGCCCTGCCAGAAAAGAACGGATGGTGTCAGAAGTGCCACAATACAACCCCCTCTCACCCAAAGTACCTCCGTTTCTTTCATTTCTCACCACTTCTCTGAGGGCGTTGGCAGCCATGTTTGACCTCTTTCCACTTCGGCATGCCTGGATAGAAAAAAACTCGAGATAGGTGAGAAAAATCGGCAAACTGTGAATTGAAGAAGATTAACCGAGCGAATGAGGCATTGGATTCAGATTCTTTGGACGTCTCGCCAGAAGTCATTGGATATCCTACCAGAACAAGAGGCACAGATTCATTGGATGTCCAACCAGAAGACATTGGAAGCCATACCAGAACAAGCGGCGTGTCGGGTGAGTACTTCGCCTTCACTTGCTCCAGGAACTCCGCATTTCTAACCATGGATCCTGAAAGTCCACACATGCACGAACACGTTAACATAATCACTGAGTGGAACCCCAGAGATCTGCCCCAGTGTCCTCATCCTGATAATGCACGAACTACTCACAAGAACCTAGATATGTGTGAGCATCATTTCAGCCACATTTCAACATGTTCAATTTCATATGCGATACAGCGCGGAGTGACGCCATGCGCCATAGAATGCCTCATGCACAAGATCGTTTGGTGGGAGTGGACAAAGCACGGGAAGGGCTTACCGTCAGAAGCGGTGAGCATGAAGGGAATGTTGGAGGATCCCGCGACGTGCCCAGATGCATATTCCTGAGGCGTTCTGCGCGGCAGCACAGCATGTTAATGTCGAGGATGTTAGATTATAGCATCAGTTGGGTTGTAAATGTGCAAGTGTAACACCCAAACGTGGGTGTACACTTTGGGCCAAGGCACCCCAACCAGTTTTGGTTGGGGGCGTGCCAACCCCACTCTGCCGCAATTGGCGGGGGAACCAGCCCCCCCCAATAATTGGCAGCCACCTCCAAAACATTATTGGTGGCCACTCCCATTGGCTCACCAATAATGTCGCGGGTACCCAACCCAACCTAGGTCTCCCACTTCTCATCTCTTATATGTACCCACCATCTTTCTAATCAAACCAACACTTGACTTTCTTACAGAGGAAACCCTCGAGGAGGCTCGTAAGTCGACTCTTCACCTCGATACCTCGACACTCGCGGACCGCACAAAAAAACTTGATAAAAAAACACTACGAAAACGAGTTCAGTGAAACGATGATATTATGCGCTGTTGCCAACGTCGAACAATCTCGCCAATTCATTACTGATCCAGACTGCCTGAAAGTTGCCACAACCGAAGTACAATCCAACGCCCCAAAACATGCAGGCAGGTTCTGATGCTCGCTGGTTTGAAACGATTCCAGACCGATACGTGCAGTGTGCGAGCTGGATTCTCCCTCTCGCAGCGGAAGCGGTCAGACAAACTTTCAGTCAGCCTTAGAAACGAGGCACGCTAACGCCGATGCCTTCTCACCTAACATCGAGAAAGACGTAACCGGAGTCGACCAGCTGTTTCGCTTCGGAAGGTGGGACGACGCGAACGGCGGGAGCCATTTGAAGTGCGCCTGGAGACAAATAATGAACAACGGGATGAACCTAGGGAGCCTAAGGGTGCGGATTAAGAGAAATAGGAAAATAAACAGGATGCTCTAGGATGAAAGAATGCGAGAGAAATCATAAATATTATCTAGCTCTTGGAGAGGAGCGTGTCTCTCTGCCATGTAGGTTGGACGGGTTAGGACAGGTCAACTCCTGCTAAAAACGGCGATCGATCCTGCGCAGGTTCGATTTTTTACTGGGTTAGAGGAGGTTCTAGCACAATCTAGATGTTATTGCAGGTTTTCAATGCGGTGGACGCTCGTTTCACGATCGATCGCCGTATTTTGCAGGAGTTGACGCGTCCTTAGACTTCCTTGACCCTCGACCTCGATTCAAATGAGAAAACGCGGTGGAAAAAAAATTCCGTGCAAGTAATACGGAGGCTGCGTTCTGTAGGCACTCCAGAGGGGGGGTGGGCGGTAAATAGGAACCTTCTCCCACCTTCGTTTTTTGGTTCAAAAGAGCAATCAGCCCAGAAAATGTTTCGAGCCTCCCAATTACCCTCCGAACCTAGACGAAGGTAAATGGCAACAGAACAGCCATTTACCTTGGAGGATATGAGGTCGTAGGAAGCCGCCCATTCCCCTCCCCACCTTCCTGCCTTGGCAAATTTTGCCTCCTCCTCCCCGCCCTACGAAAGCTGCTTTTTCGTGGTGGTGCGATGGAGGTGGGGGGGAGCGCTGGGTTAGGGAACACCATACTGTTACCCTATGAAGCAAACAACCCTATCCTCGAATATCCCAAACAGGGACGCAGCAACACTAGCAGGTTAAAAAAAATCAAGTTTTGTGTCTTGCAGGCTCTGCGTGCTGGGGGTCGAATTCTTCCATCTGACACCCTTCTCTCAACTTCAACCCTCGTTCTGATTTGGCGAAGCTCTATCTACCCAAATGAAGTGTGCGTGCGAAATTGTTCTGGTCTTTTCGTCATTTACCTTCAGAGCCTTCCACCCGAGAATCCGACATTTCCCACTTTCGGTTGTAGCAGGGGGGGTTTGATATCGAAGGGGAAACTGCCTAGGAGCCCTCGTCATTACCTTCGCCCCCCCTCTTCCCTCCCTCGGCGTATGGCTACAGAATGAAGCAATACAGAGGGAACTACCATTTTCTTTTTTTGCCCCCCCTCTTCCCCCCCTCGGTGTGCTACCATTTTCTTTTTTTGCCTAGGTTATGCTTTTTATCTATAGAACAAACTGCAAACGAACGGCTTCATATCTTTTACAGGTGCAATAGAACGAGATAGCGAGTATTGCACTAGGTTGTCAAACTAGTAAAAAGTAAGAGCAAAGGCATGAGCGAATACTTATGTGCGAACATGCAAACGGTAACGCGATGTGTGCGAGCTAGCTAGTGCTAGGTGTTATGAGTGCAATTGAGTGAGCGAGCGAGAATTGCACTATCAACCCAAGAGTACAATGAGCGAAGGCATGAGCGAATAATATATAGCGAAACTACAGTGGTAACGGTAATGAACTGTGGTTGTCCCGCGACGGGCCTGGGACTGAGGTTTGGGGAAATGTTGAAGCGGAGGCCCGGAGCGCGGGTTACACGCCGAGCCGTGAGGTCGGGGTGCGACGTGTGAAGGTGGCGGGAGGATTGTCGATGCGAGGGTTGCGAGTGGTAACGGTGCTGACTGTGGTGCTACAGTGGTGTACGTGCTGAACGGGGACACGAAGTAAGGAAAAAGAATTTTCCTTACACTATCCCCCCCCCCCTTAAGGATGTCCTCCTTACGAAAGTGCGTGTACATTCCCGAAGTTTCGGCTGCGCAGATACTCTGTGACGACAGGGTGGTTTTTGACTCTGTCCAGGGGAACCCAGTTGTCTTTTGTGGGTGTTCGGTCTTTCCAGCGGATCAGGAACTTGATCCTTCGGGCTCCTCGAGGGTCACGAACTCTGTGGCTCAGAATTTTCTCGGGTGTGATGATTGGTTCAGTCGGCGGTCGTGTCATACTGGCTGGGCGATTACGTGGCAGTTGGCTTGTGGAAGGGACGTAAGGGCGAAGCAGGCTGACGTGGAATGAGGGGCTGACGTACCAGTTAGCGGGGAGGAAGAGGTGGGCGGTGACGGGCGTAATCATGTGGCTTATGCGAAATGGCCCGCAATATTGGGGGCGGAGTTTTGGGGTGATGGGCAGTCGGAGGTTCTGAGTGTCGAGTAAAACTACGTCGTCAGGTTGGTAAGTGTGAGGTCGGCGGTGGCGGTCGGCGTTACGTTGAGCGATGATGTTTGATTTTTTTATTGCGTCTGCTGCCCAGGTCCGTGCTGATTGTAAAATTTCGGCGAACTCTTGTGCTCGTGGCACCGGGTTGTCGGGATTCAAAGTCATGGGTACTGTCCGGTCTTGTCCGTAGTTCAGGTAAAACGGTGACTGTTGGGTTGTGGCGGACGGTGAGTTGTTGTATGCGAACTCAATGAGTGGCAGCTGTTGTTCCCAGGTGGTTGGGTCGTCGCACGTGGCTTGGATGAGTTGCTCCATAGTCTGGTTTGTCAGTTCTGTCTGTCCGTCGGTTTTGGGGTGGTACGAAGAACTGAACTGTAATCGCGTGCTGGACTGCTGCCACAGGTTCCGCCAGAAGTTGCTGGTGAATTTCGTGTCACGATCGCTATTTATCGCTGCTGGTATGAACGACGCGGTGATTACGTGTCGCGGTTGCAGTCGAACGACGGTGGAGATGAAGAGGCGTGCTGTTTCTTCGGCCGTGATTGATATTTTGCAGGCTGCAAAGTGTGCCGTTTTCGTCAGTCGATCGACGACGACCAGGATCGCGTCGTTCCCACTCGCCCCGGTCGGTAACCCCGTGACGAAGTCCATCGTCACCCGCTGCCAAGCACGCTCTGGGGTTGGTATCGGCTGCAACTGTCCTGCCGGCCGCTGTCGTGATGATTTCATGAGCTCGCAAGTGGGATACGATGCCACGTGTCGTTGTACGTCGGTCAACATTTCGGGCCAGTAATAATACCGCTGCAGCTGTTGCCGTGTTTTCTCTACCTCGAAATGGTCTGAGGTAACTCCGTTGTGTGCCTCCTGTAACAGTAATTCCTGTAGTAGTGTATACCCGGGCACCCAGATGCGGTCGGTCCCGGCTTTTACGTAATAGACTCCCCTTGCTGCTGCGAACTGCTGCGAATTTCCTCCTGTGAAGAATGGATCCGTTTGGTACTCGTGGGTGAATAGGCCTGTCAGTAGGGTGTCAGAATGTTATGCTCTAGCCTGTAGTGGGGTGCTCTATAGCGAGTACAACCCTTCTAGGGTTTGCTATTTGTATCCTCATTCCTGCTAGTGAACCTCTCTTTTACCTAAATTGTTTCTTGCCTAGCTAGGTCTTTCCTAGCTTTGGCTCCTAGTTCTGCCTACTATTTTTACATGGTATTAGAGCGATATGCTCCTGGCCTGTGGGCCCCACCTCACTGCTTCCGCTGCTACTACTACTCTGTGTGTTGCACGCCCCGTCGCGTGCGACGGATTTTTCATCCCGTCGCGTGCAACGGATTTTTCATCCCGCCGGTTTTTTGCCCGCCGTGCGCCCCGAGGCGCGCGGCGGGTTTTAGCCCCGTCACTCCGCGCGTCGCTCCCGGGAGGCGCTGCAACGGGCGACGGGGACCCGCGCGTCGCCCCCTGTCGCCCGTCGTGGCCTGCACGCGGCCCGTACAGCCTGCGCGCGGCCCGTACGGGCTGCGCCAGGCCCGCGCGCGGCCCGTACGGGCTGCGCCAGGCCCGCGCGTGGCCCGTACGGACTGCGCCAGGCCCGCGCGCGGCCGGTATGGGCTGCGCCAGGCCCGCACGCGGCTCGGGCCGCCTGCGCGCGGTTCGGGCGGCTGTGCCAGGCCCGTGGGCGGCCCGTTCTTCGCTGCCCCTGCGCTGCCCACTGTCCCCCGTGCTTCTGATGGCGCCCCACCCCTGCTACTGCCCGTTCTCCTGAATTAGGGTTTGGGGGTGGGGGGTATGGGGGTGCAGCTACTGTGTGCCGTCCCCTGCTCCTCCTCCTCCTCCTCCTCCTCCGTCTCCCAGTGCTGCAGCTGCCGCTGAGGGGGGTGGGCCTGTTGGAGCCGTCGGAGTGGTACTAAGGGGGGTGAAGGGGGAGTGGAGCTAGGGGTGAAGCAGGGGGTGTGTGTCAGGGTGGTGGGACTGTTTGGGGAGGTTGCACGGAGGTTGCCGTCGTGTCGCCAACAGCACCTATAGTCCGAGGAGTTGCTCCGGTAGCCCAGTCGCAGCCACCTGTGCCAGTCGCCCGTGGGTCCGTTGCTCGTCTGCCGCTAATTTTAGCCGTGGGGCCAGTTACTCCACTAGTCCGGAGCGTTGTTCCGGTAGCCGCTGTGCCAGTGTGACTCCTGTTGCCCGTGTGTCTGCAGTTTCAGCCGTCGCCTCCTATCTCCTCTCCTCTCACTGTCCCTCCTCCTCCTCACTTGCCCTCTGCGATAGCCTCTAGCTTTGCTTACATTTGTGAACTTTAAACTGTTGCTTCTTGAACTTGTGCTCAGAATGTGTGGTGACATTGTGATCCACCCTGAGCTTGTTTTGCTTTGCTTACTCTGCTGATTACACCCCACTTTGGCTATGGGGGTGTGTCAGAATGTTATGCTCTAGCCTGTAGTGGGGTGCTCTATAGCGAGTACAACCCTTCTAGGGTTTGCTATTTGTATCCTCATTCCTGCTAGTGAACCCCTCTTTTACCTAAACTGTTTCTTGCCTAGCTAGGTCTCTCCTAGCTTTGGCTCCTACTTCTGCCTACTATTTTCACATAGGGGGCTGGTCTGGGCGAGTAGTATTGCATGGATCTGGGCAGTGGGGCGGGTCAGTGCGTCGACGATGTTCGAGGCTACCTTTTTGTAGGTGACCGTGTAGTGAAAATTGGACTCGAGAAAATCAAGCCAGCGAATCTGTCGTGGGTTGAGGTGTGGCTGTGCGCGGAGGTACTGTAGTGATTTATGGTCTGTCCGTACTGTCACGTCTG